GGCAATACCTGTAGCAAGAGGACCCACCCTGCTTTCTCCTGCTAAACAGGAGAGGAAAATACCTGTAGCAAGAGGACCCAACACAGCAATCAGTGATGACAACAGAGCTGCAGGTTTGGGTGTCCTTCAGGGTTACCTTACTGAAGTTGTCCTGACACTACAGACCAAGGTGCATCTTCTCCAAGCTACAGTCTGACACCATCAATACCTGTCAGCAGTTCCCACTCCCTCTCTGAGGCAGGAGGACTATAAACACTGTCCATCCAACCAGGAGAGCTGCCAGCTGGCCAATGGGACAGGATAGCCACAGCTACATGGCCAGAAACCTGCAGGAGCTCAGACTTGCATGTACTTTCCAATCAAATTACCTGTTGGAGAAAGCCAACCTTCCCCACCACCACTGTGACATGGGCCAAAACAAGAGCTGCAAATCTGAGCTCTCAGATCTCAGACTCTCCCTGTGGTGTTTTGTCTGTGGATCCAAGGAAAGCAGGATCTGGAGGGCTTGGGGTAATCCAGAGGGTTGTCATGGAACTGGTCAATACTGAAAGTTTGCTACTAAACCTGGTTGATACCTGGTGGGAAGTGCTGGCCAGATGTCAGAGCTGCCTGAGATCAGTCAAAACCTTCACCCCAGTGGCAGTCCAAATCCAAAAAGCCCTTCAAAGACCACAAACTGATGGGATTTGATGGAAAAATGAAATACAGGCCACAGAGTGAAAGTACTGGGTTTAAAGCCAAAGTTCTTTCACTGCAAGGAATTTAGCATAGAAAAGGCTTTGAGTGAAATATTTGGATGGTCTCAAAAAAAACCCTATTTCTTATGGGGAAGTTCCAAATAAATTGGAGATTTCTACTGCTCCATTTTCAGATAAGCCTTTCAAAATGGACCAAGAGCTTTGTGTTTGTTAGAAGTGCAATTCCTGGGGCTGTTCCCAGGTTGACATTTGTGAGCTCAACTCGCCCTTTCCACCTGCATCTACACACACAATAATTGCAGCTAAGTTGTGTTTCTTTGACTGGAAATGATCTGCACAAAAGCAATGACCCATAAATTAAATGCCTAGGGAAGGAGTACAAGGAATATGGAATACTGCTATGCTCCCTTAGTGATGACAGGTATTAGTGGCACATAATTTGGCCAGACAGACTGGGAAGAGAATCCAAACCAAGCAGACAAATTCATGCAAAACATCTCCATGGGTAATGGGTACAACTCTGGGGTTTTTTCCTGCCACTGGAGTGAAGAGCTAAGTGTGTAATGAGAGTGTGAGCAAAGGAGAAGTAAAAACTCAGCTGGTTCACAGTGGTTTGTAGGAAGAACACAGCCTGGAATAACTCCTGTGCTGCTTGCAGAGAAGCAAAAATATTTACCAAACTCAAGTGAGTTTTTTGTATCCCCTGAAAGAAATCACTGAAAATTCCCAGAGGTGATGTCTTTCAGCCGTGGGTGTTGTTGGTACATAGGAGTTTCCTGCCAAGGGAGCCCCCCAGGCACCCTGGATTATCCTAAAGCTGTGGCAACACTTAGGGATGTGGTATGGACACACAGGGAACACCACAGGAGGTGATTACAGATCCTGGTTCTAACCAAAGCACTGAATGAGGAATATTTCCCATTAAACAGCACCACAGCATCTTTAATACCCATAAGTGGTTAGGAGCTGCTTTTCCACCCCAGCTGCTCTGCTGAGTTAAGCTGTTGGACACGATCACACACCTCACAACACAATGCATGCGTTTTCTCCAACACTCTTTGAGCAAGGAAAATATTCCCTACCATTGGCAGGAGAGAAAAGTTTCTGGTGGAGCAAAGAACTCAACCCAGTTGTCTTCCAATCCACCCCTGAGTCCCCAAGATGCCACCAGCACCCACCAAACTCTCATCAACCCAAGGGCAGTGATTTCTATACATTAGATATGGACAGGGGGAATTTTACATTTCCATAGCTCTGCATTTTTGCCCTATTTATTTCTTCATTCTCCAGGGCCAGGCTGTGCTGTGGCCAAGCCAACAGACTTGTAGGGAATATCTCTCCAGCACATTTTCCTGATGGACTGCACATGTAGCTTGGTGAATGAGCAAGGGTTGCAAAATGGATTTTGCCTGGGGCAGTGAAATAGCTGAGGCCAACCATGTCATTTGGTTTCACTCACACTTTCCCTTCCCTATCTCTATCTTGGTTTTCCCTTTTCTTTCTCCTTTTGTTGTCTTGGTTACATGGGCAGATTCTTGATAGGCTGCTAGTTTTCATTTTAATGATGTGTTCCCGTAAAGCACAATATTTTCCTTCAGTTGTGTGTGCCACTGGATAAATTCCTCTGACACAAGTGACATTTGTATATCAACTAACAGATATTGCTTTATGACTGTAGGTATTTTGCAGTGTGTTCGTGGACTGCATAAATCAAGATCTGATACACAGAGGAAAAGCCTGAAACTGCAGAAAAAAAAAAAGGAAACTCCAAAATCATCTTGTCCTGACTTGAAGTGAGTCTTCCAATCACTGAGTAAATCCTGTTATCTTGGAGATAATGTCATAACTCTTCTTTCATCTATCCAAAGTACTTCACTGTAGTTTGACCAAGTAGCTGCAGTGCACCAGGAGAAGCAGAAGTTCATCCCATGCCTGGTAGGACCCAACAGTAGGGGGGAAAAAAAAAAATAAAGACAGTTCCTGGGATTCATACACTGGTTCATGGAGTTCCATCTAATCCTAGAAAGCTTATTGCAATACATCATTTTTAAGCATAAACCAAACTTCATGCTAACAGAATGGATTATGCTGGAGTTGCAATCCCAATGCAGCATTTTCCTTGCTTCCTACTCAATAGTACCTGATTGATCAGCCAAGATGGAAAACAAAGCATCAAAAAAAAACCCATGAAGCCTTGGCAGGTGTCAAGGAACATCAAGTAAAAATCCTGAATGCCAAACTGGCCTTGTGTGGCACCCAGAGGGGAAACCAAAGTGGTGCCCTGAGCTCAGGTACCCTCAGAAGGTATCTCAGGGTGTGGAGAAGAGTCACTGATTGCAAAAGTCATTGCAAGGAAGGAACTGAACTGATCCTGATCACCTGGTCCAAAACAGCCACACATGTTCAGAGGAGCCACATTTTGCTTTGTGTTTTACCCCTCTGGTGAAGACTTTTTCATTCAAGCTCAGCCCAAAGCTCCAGCTCACACCCCCAGTGTGGCAACTACCACAGGCAGAATATTCAGCACGTTAGGAAAAAGGGAATAAAATGAAGCTTTCTCAAGTTACATCAACCACTCCAGCTCCTCTCTTCTCATTCTTTACCCTATAAGGCTGTCTCTGCTCTCTACCACACTCTGTAAAGCAGGAAAAACTTCTCTCCTATTTTCCCCTATTAAAAAGGAATCAGGTCTTGGATTCTGCAACGTGACCTGCAAAGGTGAAGACAGAGCTGTGCCTGAGTTTGCTTCTCCTGAAGCCAAAAGAAAAACCCACAGCTTGCAGGGAGGCAGGAGTCATTCTTAACTGTTTACGTGTTATGGATATTTACCATTCAGACCTCAGCTCCCCCAGTTTTGCCCCCCAGGAGACTGACTGGAGAACTGAACAGTTTGTAATGATATCACAGATGACAGGAAAGCAAAACCTAATTAGTCAGAGGAGGAGATTATTTTTATTATGACCACTTAAAAACCCATTTGGCTCCTTTTCCACATGCCTGAATAAAAAAAAAACCAACCCAAAGCATATTCTCCTTTGAATTGCCTGAGCAGCCTTTCCTCAGCTGAACAAAGCCGGAGTCTTTAGCCAGTGGGCAGGATCCCATTCCCCTCGGCAGGAGGAAAATGTCATCTCAATTTACAACCCTGATTTTCTTTTCAAGTGAAGAAACAGGTAGAGGAATAAACCCAAAGATTTCAGACATGCCTTAAAACATCCATGAACAAACAACTCCCTCTCTTCCCTGCTCTGTCCATCTGATGCACAGGCCACAGCGGGTCACCTTTCCATAGCATCTTCCCCTGCCCAACTTGGAAGATTTTACTTCCAAAAAGGGATTCAAAGAGGGATGAACATCCAGAACAGCCCTCAAGGCTGGCCCTTCCCAGCTTCTCCCCATCTCCATCCTTACAGCCAAGCCACAATCTCCTTGCACATACATTTTATAACACTCCTGGGCTGAGCATTCAGACACACATTGCCACACTAGCCCCAGGGGTTGAGACAGAGGGGATGTCCATCATCAGAATGAGAAGGTCACATCTAATACCTCTTCTTCCCTTGACAAAGACACCCACAGATGATTCCACCTCTCAAGCCTCTCTACCACTGCCTTACAAGGCAAACTACAGAGCTTCAGCTTAGCCATGGGCATATTTCCAGTGAGAATGCACAGACAGGAACATAAACCCAAATACAATGAAGAGTGTAGTTATGTGGCATCAGCCACAAACATAATGCTCATTATTGTTCAAGACACAGCTTTCTTTTGATGAAAACACTCTTCCCTCAGCACAAGGACAGAGCCTGATGTGAACAGAGCCACCACTAATCCCATGCTGGGCTCGTGGGGAAATCACAGCCCAGTCACATTGCTCTGAAGGAAACATCTCCAGAGCATGAATCCTGTTCCTTAAACTTCAGCCACAATCCCTTTTCCTCCAGCATGCACAGATACCCTGTGAGCAACTACTTAATTAGAGCTGAACACAGAAAATCCTGTTGGATGCAAATTACAGCAAGTCTGTCTGCGACTGGGGCTGTGGTTTGACTCCAGAAACACTCCTTTGCTGATGAACAGCAATTGGGAGGAAGGATTTTATCCTTTCCCACTTCAGCTCTATCCCTCAAGGGTCAAACACAGTTTTCTGCCAACCAAAAGAAACATTTTCTATCCTCATACAGATGATGCACCTTAGGATAAGGACTGCGACCACGTTTGATACAACACTGCAAATCTCCATGAGGACATGAAATCCACAAGAACATGAAATCTGAGTTAGAGAACCACATTAGGCCTTACCTTTTTGAGCTTGCCACTCTTGGTGCCCACAAAAGCCAGGGAGTGGTTCTTGTAGACGTAGGCAATCACTGATGTCATCCTGTCTCCATCCTCGGTGTAAATGGGGAGCCCTCGCACCATGGATGATACTCCCAATGGGGCATTCATATCCAGGCCACAGAAATTGTCATCAATTGTTAACAGCTGCAAACAAAAGGAAAGGAGGTCTCAATAAATGAAGTCACTACGTCAGTTCAGCCATTTGGTTAGTATCCATCCATTGCATAACAGGTCTGTAATTTATGCTGCTGACAAATCAGTGACAGAGGCAGAACTGGAGGAACATAGAGGTGGGAAAAAAAATTGTCCGAAGTTGCATGATGAGTTACAGACAGAAGGAGAACTGGAAACTTGGTTCTCTTGAATGACAGCCCAGCAGGATACATCACAGTGAGCCTTTTTCCTACTGCTTTACCAGGCAGTTTTACCAGTCCAGACCTAGCAATCAAAGCCTGCTGAAAATGTCTTCAGCATATCCAGCTCTGTCAAAACATTATGCACATAATTCCCATAGGATCCAGTGACAAAAGCACAGCAGCAGCATGGTACAGAGAACTCTTCTACCTTAGGGCACCATCTGCATGGTAGGTGAAGCTGTACAGGTTACAGATCTCCACAGAATAAGTCAAATTAAGATGAAGCTCCAAATATCACAACTGCCAAAGCAGTTGGACTTCATTAACTTCTCTGAGACCACTCACAGATTTGAAGCTAAGCATCCACTTAAAATGTTTTACTGGACTAAGGCCTAACAAGGCAATAATTAATTGTCCAGGAAAGTTGCCTAGTTTTGATATGTCAGTGCTAAAGGACCATGACAATTTCCTTTATCTGAGCTCATATCTTCCTGGAAACATGGCTAGAATATGTGATGCTCCTTGCTCGAGTTGACAAGCAATAAAAGCTTCATAGTTGATTCATTTTTTCCCTCACCCAGCAATTACAGGCAATAATTACAGATGCTTTTCCTGAATGGAAGAATAATGTGTCCTAAATGTATTTATAAATACATAAAACCTAGAGGAATTCAAACAGCCATTAGTAAGGATCAGCTAGCCTGAGCTCTGGCCTGCAAGAGTCATTAGTGTTTGCAGATTGCCCTTTCAGAGCTAAAGCACCAGCTCAAAGAGCAATTACAGAGCAGATCAACAGCCTCCAGGAGCAGCACACAGGATGCTGCAAGTTCACATCGCCAGGGCAAGGTCTGAGCTACATCTGCATCCCAGGTTTGTTGCATAGGTCAGGATGGAAATACAGAAGCAGCAGAAGAAAGGAGGTGTGTTAGAGGAGAGGACACCCAACCAAACTGCAAACACTTCATCACCTCCCAACAGGGCCAGAGGACACCCAACCAAACTGCAAACACTTGGTCACCTCCCAACAGAGCCATCTGATTGCAAAGGACTGCAGATCACTCACTCAGCCTAAGCAGCTAACAAAGATGTATCATGGTTTGGAAGGAGGCTGGGCTATAAAGCCTCCTGACATCCTTCCAACCTGAACTGTCCTCTGGATGGAGGATCTGAGAAGGATCCAGACTTGAAGTCAGGCCCACTTTGACCAGAAACTCTTAAGCTCTCAAATTAGCACGATTTGTGTTTCAAGGCTGTAATAAAACTGCCTAAGTCCTCACTCTAATGGCCTGACAAGAATCATTTCAAGCTGAAAGCAAGAAATTCCCAAATGGCAGAAAGAGGGGAAAGGGAAGAAAGTTTTTAAGGAAAACCAGACAGCTTTCTTCACCACCATGAGATGAAAAGTTTAATGCTACCAGCAGATACCTTTCCTAGGGTGGAGCATATGAAGCTCCATCTCAAACAAGAGGAAATTGCACTGACAAGCAGTGAAATATGAATCAAGCAGAGGTGGCACAGTCACACATCTTCCTTGGAGCAGCACAGCCTCCTACACACTCCTCTCCCTCCAGCACAACCAAAACCAACTCCTCCAGCTGAAGCACTTTGAGACCAGAAAGACCCAATGAACCACCCAATCTGCCTTCCTGCATAGAAAATTATCAGAAAGATAAGGGCAGACTTTTTTTGGACCTGTAGCAACAGGACAAAAGGTGATAATTTCAAACTAAAAGAAGGTAGAGTCACACTAGGTATAAAGAAGAAATTGTTTATGATGAGGGTGGTTAGTCCTTGGCACAGGTTGCCCAAAGAAGCTGTGGCTGTTCCATCCCTGGGAGTGTTCCAGGCCAGGTTGGATGGGGCTTGGAGCAACCTGGGCTAGTGGAAGGTGTCCCTGAGGGAGGTTGGAACAAGATGATCTTGAAGGTCCCTTCCAACCCAAACCATTCCATGATTCCCTGAAAAAAGCAGCAAGTCCATGCAGCAACTCCCTGGGCCAGTCTGCCCCTTGCTAGGTCAGTGCCAGCAAACACAGCCAGGGGCACAGGACCAAACCACACTGCAGCAAACCCATGGGGATGGCTCAGTGCTGTGGCACACCAAACCCCAACCTGTCCTCTGCAGTAAACAGGACATCCCCATCAGCTGGATGGGGCCTGGAGCATCCTGGGCTAGCAGGTGTCCCTGCCCATGGCAGGAAGATTGGATTAGATGTTTTTTTAAGGTCACCTTCAACCCAAACCATTCTGTGATTCTCTCTCCACTCCCAGGCTATTGTTTGGGTGCCAGAGAAGCAACCACAGAGCTGTGGTTTGCAATGTAGACAACCCTCCCCCAAGAACAGGAGCAAGGCCAAGCGAGCCACACGCCACGTGAAAACTAGTTTCATTTAACATATTTGGGTTATTTCCTCTGGGATTCATCTGCCAAAAAAAACGCCAGCAAGCAAAACCCTACAAATAAACAACCCCCAGCTTCAGCACAGCTGTGGCTCTCAGCTGCACACAGACCTTTGTACAGGCAGAAACATCTTCTGCAGCAAAGAGAAACACGTAAGGAACTTTGGATTTATGATGAAAGGGTCAGGAGTTGCAAGCACAGGTTTATTTTCAATTCCAGACACTCCTAGCAGCAATATAAAGTAGCCACGTTAAACTCTCTGGAGCTTCTCTGCTTGGCAATTTGGCGTTAACGACTTTGCAGAATGAAAGAGGAGGTGAGGACATGAATTCAAGCTGCTTCTCACACTGCTGCCACACAGGCTGGGATAGCAGGGAGAGGCAGAGGGAAGGACAGAAGAGGGAGGAATAATATCAGCCATTCTCACATCCTGAGCAGTTAAAGTCTAACCCAGAAAGTCACAGCACAGGCTGTAGGTAACCCAGAAGGGAAGTGGAGCTTGTGGTTAGGAATCAATCAGTTCATCATCCCACACCTGCAAAAGAGGGACCAGCACTCACCACCCTTCTGCTCCATGAAAGCTGCTAAACACGGGTTTCTAAGGTGCTCTACATATCCAAAATATCTTCATCTGAGACTGATTGGCATCTCCCAGGGTATAAATCCTCTCCCAAGCCCCAGCAGCTGCCTCTCCATCTCGGGCTGATGTGCAGAAGGGACCAGCTGAGCTCTGTCCCTGCCACTGCTCCCTGCATGGGCAACCAGGGGGTTCCTCTGCAGCTGTGACAGTGGCCAAGTGTCACATTCACCAGTGGAACAGGAAGGATGTGCAAAAGAACAGGCCTGATTTACAGGAGGATCCTGGCAGACATTTGCCTCCTCCAGGATTAGGCCTATAAAACACATCCAAGCCCTCCCGGAGAGGATGGTTTTACAAGGTTGGTGCTGGCTCAGTCCCTTAGGGATTCACTGAGTCCCCAAACCCCCAAATTCAGCAGAAGAGTTAGGGATTTGATTACAACACCTTCCCTGTCCTCATGACTCCCCAGCAGGGGTGAGTCCTTTGGCACTGCATGAGTGGCTGAAGCACCAGGTATCAGAGGGCCAGTGCAAACAGTGCTCCTAATACATCCATTGTCCCTTAAACAGCTGCTATTTGCCTCTGAAACAGCCCCTGATAATCAAATACTGCCTAATCCATATTTGGGGAACAGCTTCAATAAAGGATTAGCCACCCCTCATTCCTCCTTGCTTTCACTCCAGTGAAATCTTCCTCCACAATCAAAGCACCAGAGCCTTTTTCCAGATATCTCAGCAGTCTCCAAAGCAATTCCACAGACTCACTGGGGACAGAGGCTGTCCCAGTGGCCAAGCCTTGCCTTTGATTTACAGCTAATACCTAAGAGCCCTGTTCACACAGTGGCAGGTACTTGGCTCCTCACTCCTGTTATCTCAGGCTTGGCTATGGCAAACGGTGGAGGGAACACATACATTAACAGCTGTCTGTGCTGCCAGCAGGGCCAGGGAGCCAACAGCAGTAAGAAATCAACAGTAATATGCATTGGAGTCTTTGCAAGGAGAGATCCAAGGTCTTTACCACCACCTGACTGCAAGGTCTTCTTTCCTTCCTGACTGTAAGGCCAGAGTGAGGGTGAGGATGGGCACATGGCCACTCAGTAGGATGTTTAAAACCTAGAGAGATGGAAGCCCTAGGAAAATGTGTCACCAGGAACTGCACAGTACTCAAAGAGGTACAAGCTAGGAAATTTAGGACCTACATCACCTGGTGAACCATAAATCCCCACAAAGAGGAGCTGGCAGTGATGGTAACCATCTCCCTGCAAACCACAGATCTTTAAACTCCAAGAGCAGTAGGATGGTACCCAAGGCTTGTGCTTCTCCTGTTTGCCTGTGCATGGCCTCTTGATGCTATCAGCACAGGCTTCAATGTTTGGTGAACCTCTGATCAGACACTGGTTTGCCCTACCCATGGCATTAATCCTTTGCGTTGGATTGACTCTGATCTCCTGCATTCTCTCTGCTTCTGGCCATGCTGCCTCTGAGTATCTCTTCTGAGTCCTGTGCAATCAGTGGGTTTTGGTCCACCTGCTCTTCTCCCCATGATCTGTGCTGTGAACTTCGTCAGAACCACCACATTTCAGCCTGTTGGCTGTGTCAAGCTAGGGATGGACAAAGCCTCTCTGACTTTCACCTCATGCCACATCATTCCCATAATTTGATGCCTGTTTCTACCCTCCCCATCCCATGCATTCCTGAGAGAGAGGAAAATGCCATGGGCTTACCCAGAGGCATCAACAGCCATGGACCTTTGTCATCTGCAATTCAAACTTTTGTGGCCACTACCCAAAGACAGCACAGATCACCAAC